ATAAAGTTAAACCTTCATTTTGGTCACTCAACTATTATATGTACCCTCAATTTAGTCCTTTAACTCAAAAAATCCTTGAATTGGTCCTTATCATTTATCATTTTGACCTTGATTTGATCCTTTCGTTAAGTTTTTGCTGAAGTGGCCTATTAACTAACGGGCAAGGGCACATCTTTTTAATAAATAAAAAACGTGGAATTTATACCATGTCCAAATATATGACATGGTAAAAAAATTATCCAAATAATCTTTAACCATAATAAAATGATTATACTACCCTTACCTCTAAAATCTAAATCCTTATTTCTCTCTCCCTTCCCCAACACTAGATCTAGGTTCTCTTTCCTCTTCCTTTCCTTTGCCTTCTGCAAACCCTTATACTTTCCTCTTCAACCTCTACCATTACTGGGTTTGAGAACCTTGCAGAGCTGCCGAGTTTGAGAATCTAACAGATTCGCTGGGCTCGATCAAACCCAGCAGCTTTTTTTCTTTTTTCTTTTTTCTTTTTTGATAAGATCGAAGCTAGCAAGCCTCGAATGAGGCAATTTTGTTTGATGATGATGATGATGAATTAATTGATCTCATTGAATTGAATGTTTGATTTAGAATGAATGAAGAATATTTGAGAAGGAGGATGCTGAGGAAGAAGATGAGGAACAACGCATCTGCTCGGTTGTTTTAAACCAAGCAGCTTTTCTTCTTTTGTTTTTTTTTTTTTTTTGGTAAGATTGAACCTAGCAAAGCTGTTGGGTTCAAACCCAGCAAGCCTTGGATGAGGCAATTTTGTTTGATGATGATGATGAATTAATTGATCTCATTAAATTGAATGTTTGATTTAGAATGAATGAAGAAGATTTGAGAAGGAGGATGCTGAGGAAGAAGATGAGGGCAAAATTGTAAATTTAATGGATTGAATAATTATATTTGTTGGATTAGGTGGCTAAGTTTTTAACCATGTCATTTATTTATCCTGTTGTTAGTTTTATGTATTAAACATTTGGACATGTCATTTTCATTCCCTCAATTAACAAGCCACTTCAACAAAAATTTAACAGAAAAACCAAATTGGGGTCAAAATGATAAATAGTAGGGACCAAATCAAGGATTTTTTGAGTTGAGGGACTAAATTAAAACTCTGTGCAATAGTTAAGGGACCAAAATGAGAGTTTAACCTAAAAATAATTATTCTTGTAAAGTTAAGAATTTATGCACACGAGATGACAAGAAAAATAACGAACTTCGGATGTTGAAGATTCAAATACCTAATTTCTTTGAACATACAAGGAAAAGTCCCATCTCCTACCTAAATAGATGTGTAATAAAGCAGTATTTTACATTTTAAATTATAAAATAATAATTTTTAAATACAATGAGAGTATT